TCACTAGATTTTTCCCAATGGATTTTTCTAGTGTGATTTTTAACGAGGTATGAGTATGATATATTAATGGGGATTGTATATAAATACTTAAGTAGACAAACCCCACAATCCTGAAGATTGTGCCTTGAAGGCAAATACTTAAATAGACAAACCCTAAAATCCTGAAGATTATGCCTTGAAGGCTTATGGTTGTACTCTTTTTCCCTTAACTAAGTTTTTCCCACGAGGTTTTCTTAAGTTAAGGTTTTTAACGAGGCAATCAATACAATATATGAGAATATCATGCACTCTTTTCTTCAACTAGGTTTTTCTCGCGTGGTTTTCCTAGTGAAGTTTTTAACGAGGCATGAATGTTTTTTTTTAAATATACTATCGATATACCTTGTACTCTTTTCTTGTTTAGGTTTTTCCCACATGGTTTTCCTAACAAGTTTTTAATGAGGCAATACTGTAGACAAATAATGTCCAAGGGGAGTGTTATAAATATATATACTTAGTGGACATTATGTAGCGGACATATTTATGTCCTCATTATGTTTACCGTTACGATTGTCTTATATATATTCACCTGTACAATGTACTGAAGTTAGTGATGTTGATGAATGAAATCATTCCCCTTTTCACTTTTGTCTATCTCTTTCTTCCTGCAATGTTAATCGGTTAGAGCTAATGGCTAACGGGCACAAACAACAACATTACAATAGAAATTTAAATTTCAATGTTTGGCTTACAGGAATAGAATTACTGAGAATTTCAATTCCAATATTTGGTATACATGGGAATTAAAAGGGAATAAGTAGTATAAAGTCCAAAATGCTTATTATTATTATTATTATTATTATTATTATTATTATTATTATTATTATTATTATTATTATTATTATTATTATTATTATTGTTATTGTTATTGTTATTGTTATTGTTATTGTTATTGTTATTGTTATTGTTATTGTTATTGTTATTGTTATTGTTATTGTTATTGTTATTGTTATTGTTATTATTATTATTATTATTATTATTATTATTATTATTATTATTAATCCTAAATGATCAAATTCAAATTTTGCTTTTGAAAATTTATTTAACATGCTGTAAATAAACCCTAACTGCATAATGAAAGCAATAAAATAGATGTAAGTGTAAAATGTTACACATTTAAAACCCACTTAAGTTGGCTTAAATTAGTTGTCAAAATGGTCTAGTGTCTGTGTCAGGTTGAGTCTGGATCAACGCCTACTCCAGTCTAGTGTCAGCGCCAGGATGCAGTCCAGGATTAGCTCCACGAAGTAATCTAGAAGAAGTGAAACTCATTCGAACTTTTATTTTGGTCAAGACCCTACTTCCATGACTTTTTAAATCAGGAGATGCAGCTTAATTTGAGGAATTAAAGGCTACATTTTTTCAGACCAAAGTGGTTTCATATCATCACTATAAAATGCTACTTTGTTAAGCATTAAAGTTGAAGATTCAAGGATTAAAATTCTACATATCATTCCTCAAATCCTCCACTGGTTTTTCTATCAATATATTCGTGTGTAGTATAGTTTTGATGAAGATAGCCTGCACGTCAAGTCCATGGTGATGCTGGAGTAGTCGCTGGAGTAGTATAGTTTATGCTTTAGTGTGTAATGTACTCCCCCTTGTACTCCTTGTTGATCATCTAGTGGATTGGGCTGACGTAAGGGTGGCCCCGCAGACGTAGGAGTGAGGCTCTGAACTGCGTGAACATTTCCTGGTGCACGGTTCCTTTTATTGCTTTTATAATTAATTTCTTTATTCTGTCTGGAGTAGATCCTGGAGCTAGTCCAGCTTAATAATTTAATTAAAATTTAGTAGGAACCTTTAGGTTATCTCTTGCATTCAAGATCCACGAGCTTTTTCAATTGGTATCAGAGCCCGGGGACTTAAAATATTAGTCTAATCGATCTGGCTTACTCGTGTTTCTTGAACTCAAGATCTCGGTTTTTGTTCTTGATTCTTCTTTTCTGGTCAATCTTCTTTAGCTTACTGTGCATTGAGTTTTGCAGAATGGAACGACATAGAGCACATCCTGAATTAACAGGTGACAACTATGCGTACTGGAAGGCTCGTACCAAAATGCACCTACGAGCTCATAGGGAGATGATCTGGAGGGCAGTTCTCACTGGGTGGACTCATCCTACCAAAGATGGAGCTACTACAGGAGCCCCTCCAGTTCTCAAACCAGAAACAGAATGGACAATTGCTGAGATGAGTACTGCGAACTACACCAATAAAGCCTTAGATATTATTTATTCCTTAATGCATGAGAGTCAGTTTACCCTTATTACTGGTTGTGACTCTGCCAAAGACGCTTGGGAGATTTTGGAAACTTCCTATGAAGGAACTAACTCAGTCAAGCAGTCCAAACTCCAAATGGTCCAATCTGACTTTGAAGATCTAAAAATGGCAGAAGACGAATCAATAGTTGATTTCCATGCCCGTGTTCAGGAACTAGCAAATCGTGCAACCGTTCTAGGCGAACCTTTCTCCCAACCTAAACTAGTCAAGAAGATTCTTCGTTCACTCCCTCAACGTTTCAGGATGAAGGTAATGGCGATTCAAGAACATGACGGGTGGGAGAACAAAACCGTAGCTCAATTAATTGGAAACTTGCAAACCTATGAGATGGAAATACTCTCTAATCACACTAAAAAGAAGAAAAACATTTCCTTTATAGCTGAAGAACATGGGTCAGTATTTGATCCAGACGAGGTAAATTATGATCCAGTTGAATTTTTAATTAACCAACTTTTGAAGTTTTTGAAATAGGTGAAACGGATGAACAACTCTCGAAATGGAAAGTTTCAAAACCAGAAGGGATCAACATCAAATGCATCACGTAATAGCCAAAATACTGGATCATCTAATTTTCGTCCATCACGAAACTCTCAATCCAGGGATAAATCAAGTGCAAAAGGCATTAGGTGTTATGAATGTGAAGGTTTCGGCCATGTTCGAGCAGAATGTGCAACATACCTAAGGCGTAAGAAGTCGATGAAGGGAGCTCTAACCTGGAGTGATGATGACGAACTTGAACCTGATCCTGATCCAGGATCTGATCCAGAAGAGATCTCTGGTAACCTTGTGGCATTCACTGCAATAGCCAACATGGAGTCTGACCTAGAAGCTGAAGTAAACTCAGAAGCTGGAGAATATGTGTCAGCTGAAGACCATGATTTACCAGTTCCCTCATTTAAAGTACAGTATAAAAAGTTGTATGAAAAATGGGAAATTCTTGTAAAAGTAAATAGATCTCTATCGAGTCAAGTCAGTAATCTAGAGAATGCTAGGAAAGTGTATAAAAATCAAATTACTGACAGGGACAACATCATCAAAGACGGGCTCAAACACGAAGAAGAACTCAAACAAGAGTTGGACATGCTCAAAAGAAGAATTAAAATGATGAACAACACTTCCACCCTCGACCAAATCTTGGATTCTGGAAGGACAACATCTACCAAGTATGGTTTAGGTTTTTTCTGGCGGAAAAGTCAAGGCTGTGGCAGTTTTTGTAAAAGCTTCTGACTCTGACTCAGCACCTGGACCAGTTTCGGATACTCTAGAAACTAGTACAGCGCGGGAAAGGTTTGGTAATGTAAGGCGTGACAATCCAAAATTTAAATTCTATAACCCTATTTGTCATTATTGCAGGATTTGTGGCCATACCAGACCTGAGTGTTTTTACTTTTATAAAGATCAAAGGCGTGAGAAGTACACCCACAAACATATTGCACCGTTTGTAAAACAAGTGTGAGTTAGAAAAACATATTTTATATCCCAGTTAACTTCAATCGCATCTCAAGGGAAAATTGTAATTCATTCCCATTTAATTTCAAGTAAAATTAGGCAACAAAAATAGTTAAAAATACCCTTCCCCCAATGTTATTCCCAATCGTTTTTTTTTTTTTTTTTTTTTTTTTTTTTTTTTTTGTATCTATCAATCTAGCAATATTGTCTATGACCTCTCATTTGGGAGAATCACTTCATGCCATTAAATCACAAGATCATTAACCTCTAATTTCCTTGTTAAAACCAACTGCTTCGTAAATTCTTTGATGTTATAGTAAATTACATTTGAAAATTGTTAAAACCAACTGCTTCGTAAATTCTTTGATGTTATAGTAAATTACATTTGAAAATTTTAATAGGAGCATATTGAGAGGATTCTTTTTCTCCCAATGGCTGAGAATATGCTTTTTCACTCTCTCATATTTAATTTAGTCTGTTGCAAAACATTCTATATATTTTTTTAATCAATAAAGTAGTAATAATAGCATGTAAATAATAACCTAAAGTTGACCAATTCGCATGATGATATTATCATGCGCGAGATGCCACCATCATACCAAAGGTAAGGTGTGTGTCATACATTTTAATTGAATTTTATGTACATTTCTCTTGTGTTGTGTCATGTGTGTATATTTGTTTTGAATTATTGTGTTTTTTATTAATCGAAAAACACATTTCTTCACTTAAAATATACTTTTGAATAATGGTTTCAGATTTTTTTTAAAAAATTAAACTAATAATTAAAAAAAATGATTTTATACACAAAAAGAAAAAAAAATGTTTCCTCTTGGTGTGAAGTGAAGGGCGGAGGTGTTAATATACCATTGCCGATAATAACTCTTAATTTGTTATGAATTATGAAGACTAGTATAATATGAGATTATCTTCGGTTTACGAGACTCTGGATAACATCGTCTTGTGACCATAATCGACAAAAGACTGGTAAACCGGTTTAGATTATGATTGACTCAAATTGAAAAGGTCAATAAGGCACGAACCCTATGACTAACAACTTGGTAGATCCAGAAAGTTCGATACCGGTGTAAAAGAGCCCACAATAATGGGATTGTTATTTTATCTATATATTATTCGTTGCTTGATGGATGGGAACTTTTGTCAATCATCCACACCTTGTCCGCCCTATATATACCCCATCTTCGCTCCTCTCTTCTCACACATCAAACCAGAATTAGATCTGCTTCATTCTTTCCTAATGGAACAGTATTTTACGAATTTTTATGTTTTCTTTTTCAAGATCTAGGGTTCATACAACACAGATCGAGGAATCTTGGTCTCTCTCAATTCTCAGTATATTTCTTAGGGTTTTGCTTTAGTAGTTGTTGTGTTTTAACACATCAAATCAAGAATTGAAGATCCAATTGAAGGCGGGGTAAAGGATCGGAGGTGACAGAAGAGAGTGAGCACAGATTGTGTTTTCTTGCATGATTTTATGTTAACATGCTTGAAGCTATCTGTGCTCACGCTCTATCTGTCATCCCAAACTCTCTCTCTCTCTCTCTCTTTGATTTTAATTGGATATTTTTCTGGCTGTTTTCTGAGTTTCTTGTTCATCCATTACATTTCTTATCTTCTAAGACTCATGTATATCATAGTTTTAGAAGATTTGGAAACAAATAATAATTGTTATGAGAAATTAGGCTGATAAATGTTAAAATAAGGAATGTTGTGTCGATGGCATAACCACTGCCAACGAATTCACACCTACCGGTGCAGGCTCACAACAACCGTGACACAACACTGAAGTGAGTGAATTGTGCTTAGACATCTCACCTCTAGTAGGCTTCACGATGGGAGTTTGCGTGTCTCGGTAGGAAAGAGATCACCAGCCCCCAAGATTAACAAAGCAATCCCCGTCTCGAGAGTGAAGCTAGAGTACAAATTAGTCTCCAAGATTAACAAAACAATCCCCGTCTCGAGAGTACTAATGTCTGGAACTCATGTAATTCTCCTTTAAATAGTATAGGCCAAGTAAATATAAGACACATATACATGCTACCATAATAGATCTGGTCACTCACATGTCTTGAATATTAAATCAAGACTAAATCACAAAACTTACACTGGGTTCAAAATCATTGACTTCTCTTTGGAGGGTCTCACTCTTTGTTTTTATAGGTTGCCAAAAGAATGATTATTGGGGTAAAAGTGGTTAATGAGAGATTTTGACATATGTAGTTTGCTGGTTAGTTGCCCTTGTCGTCCCATGCTTAATTTTCTTCTTAAACTTTTTTGTTGACCAGTTAAGGTTTTAGATCTCAAGCAAGTTGAGATGATAATTCGAATAAGAAATCATATATATAGTCATGTGTGTGTTAACATGGCATATTCATGACCTAATTTACGTTAATTTACTTAATTGGTTGTCTTCAATTATACCTTTAATTTGGAGCTTTGCATAACCTTCTGTAATTGCAGCATATGCTTCTACTGTAAGCAGTATTTGGAAGAAGAGATCAATGTTTGAACTTCAGCAATGATAGTGTAGAGATTATGCCCAAAGTGAGCAGATCCATCCCTTGTGTGTACCGGCATTTGGCCCTGTCTGCTGAGTTATTATTGAATCACCGTGATTTACATCCTCTCAAGTGCTCTTTCGGGCCGGAATGTGGGGGAGCTGTTGGAGTTGGGAATTCAACCTTTTGGGAGAAGAAGAAGCATATGTTTGTTCATATTTACTTGGTTGTATTTTTTTTTTCAACCACATTTAACAAAATGATTGAAAATTCTTGGAGAACATATTTTTTAACTACTTACAGATCTTCCACGTGGCAGGTTTAGGGCATCATGTGGTTCCAATGTGTCTAGGGTTGGAATGTTGGATACAATGTTATTGTGACAGGAAAGTACCTTTATATACAGGAAAATAATGATGGTTAGTTGCACTACCTCACCTAGGTTGACAATGGCTAATTCGGGGACAGCTATTGTGTTTCAATTGTAATGGTTATTTTAATTTGATTAGGGAAGTTTTAATTTACATTCAAAGGTAGAAAATAAGTAATTAAAGAACTAATTTTAATCACTATGGAGGTTTTTCACGATTACTGTTTGATTTACCTACTAAACACTCTTGGATAGTATTTGCAAAAAAAATTTATCAGTGCATACTCCTTGTCACCACACAATTTGAATAATAATAGCAGATTTTTCCGTTAGTACACATTCTTAAGTAGTGATTGTAAATTTTTCTGTCATTAAAAAACTAATTTATGAGTCTCGACCAAGTAACCTTAACTTAAAACAACTAACAAAGAGTTTGAGCACAATACTCCTCGACAGAGTTTCAAACCAATAGATCGAGCTTGGCCATAGGTGATGTAATTGTGGTGATTAATTAGTCAATCTGTACAAAAATTTATCACACTATGCACCATATATTGCACAGCTTTACAATCGAGTAGAAACTCAAGTTTATTAATGTTAACATCCTTTATATAATAAAGCTATATGGTTTGAGAAATAATTAATGTTATAATTAATGCCACAACATCCTTTATTATATAAAAGAAACACAACATTTAAAAACTAAAATAGCTATATATTATATAATCATATAAAAAATATACTTTTGAAAACTAAAATAGCTATATATTATATAATCATATAAAAAATGTGTTCAATTAGAGTTTAAATTTACACATACAAAATTTAAAATTTGCTTTCCAAATGTAATTATCTTAGTTATTATTCGTATTGTGAAAATTATAATATAGATTAAATACAATTAAGAATAAATTAATGTAATTATGTAAATTCTCTCTATAAGTTTATTTGAATATGCACATAATTACAGATTATATTAACTATACAAAATTATAATTTTAATTTGAATTTGAATTTTAATTTTAATTTTGTATTTTATAAAAATAATAAATACTTGACTAATGGAAGCTCAAAATATTATTATATTAAATAATTTAAAATATTTTAGATTTTCTATTTTTTATTTATATTTATAATAACATAATTTTTTTCCGTGCATCGCGCAGGTAAATTACTAGTTATAATAATAATGATATAAAATGGTGTATCGATCAATAAGGTCCTTATGCAAGTTATATTAAATATTTGATGCAAGAATTTAAATTTAACATTTGATATTCGAATTTAAATTTTCATGAGCATACAATGTTTAAACCATTAGACAATTTGATGAATATATCAATTCAATTTTCTATGTGTTAATTCATATTCTAAACTATTATTAGGTCACAAGTTAATAAAACAGTTATATGATACGACATATATTGAAACAAATAATGTTTTTGAAATAATAAATAAATAATTTTTTCATGAGCATTCAATATGTAAACAGTAGAAAATGTTGGTGAATATATCAATTAATTTAAATACTCAATGACTTAATACATATTTTAAAGAACAAATTTTACTTTTGTATGTTTGGAAATCTGAAAAATAATTTTCAAAAAATAACTCATTTTCTAAAAAATATTTTAATTTTATAGTGTTTGGCTTGTTAGGATCGATACGGTTCACAACATCAAATTACAATAGCAACTTGTTGGACTGGAAATATTGAAAATATTTCTAGTGTAAGACAATTTGAAGAAGAATTTTTTGTATTGACAAAAGAATATTACAATAGAAATTACAAATATAACTCTCTATTTTACTCTCATGAATTTGCTATGCTAATGAGATTTTACGGATGGGATCAGTTGGGATAATTTACAATGAGAGGATTTGCCTATTTATAGCAAACCCAATGCCTAGAGAATTGCAAAACATTTAATGCAACATTAAATGCAATTCTTCTCTTGCAAGTAATTTTCTTTAATCAAATTAAATCTTAGGTCAAGCTTTTCCCTTTACTCAAATGTCTACCCAAGCTTTTCACCTTGCTCAAATCTCTGCCCATGCAATTCCCTTTCTCAAACCTATGCCCTCCCTTACTCAAACCTCTACCCAAGCAATTCCCCTTCTCAAACCTATGCCCAAGGTAAAACCTTATTAGCCCAAACTTTAGCTCGTACATTTGACTTTATTATTTACATGGCTGAATGTCAGCAAACTATTATTACATTTTAGCTCAAAGTTAAGAAATAATTACATTTTTTCTATTTGGTTTATTTTCTAGAAAATGAATATATTATTTGTCATAATAATAATAATAATAATATGTGGTGGTAGTGGTTGTGGCGGTGGCGGTGGCGATGGTAGTGGTGGCGGTGGTGGTGGTGGCAGTGTTAGTGTTGTTGGTGGTAGCGGTAGTGGTGGTGGTGATTGTGGTAATAATAATAATAATCCGTAAACTAACTTAAAAAAAAAAAAGAGTAAAGAGAGAAATGGAAAATAAAGAATCCAAAAAATGTCTTCATACTAAAAAAAACAAGGAAGACATTTTTTGTCAAATTGAGTCTTTTTTTCATTAACCAGAATGGATTTTTTTTCTTATTTTTCTTGAGCACCCTAACACTGAAAAATCCTAAAATAACTTCCAGAAGTCATTTTCTGGATTTCCAAATGGATCCTTAATTTTTGACTATTGTTACATTGTCTCTTTTAGTAACATTGTCATATTTAGTTAATAAAATATTTATATGATAAAGCATATATTGAAATAAATAATTTTAAAGTATGATAACAATTAAAAGAAAAATGATCATTTTAACCCCTCAATTATACTAGAATAACCAACTCAATCCCTTAATCATTGATTCCATTTAGTCCTTAAATTGTTTGTTTGGTGGTCATTGTAGTCCATCACCTCAATTCCTCAAATAGTTGAATTGTTCAAATTAACGGTGATTGAATAATAAATATGTAAATTTATCAGTTTCTTCCCAAAGCACATATCAAATAAGTAAAAAATTATTTTTAAGTCAAAAGTATCAGGTAATAACTCAATTTTCTCTTATGAATAAAAGTAATCCTATAGCTAAATCCTTTCAAAATGATTAAGGGAAACTAAGAAATGACTACTAATAAAGTGAAAAAATGTGATACTTTTAAGTCAAACAAATTTTGATTCCCTTCAACTAAATGTGTAGGGGTTTGAAAATTAACTTCAGTAAAAGATCGATTTACCGATTGAACCGAAGAACTTCAGTTAATCGTTTTTTAACTGATATAATTCGGTTTGATTAATGGTTAGGGATCTTATATAATTTTGGTTATCAGTTTCGGTTCGAAATTGTTGGTTAACTGAATTAGAAAAAAACGAATGAATTTACATATTACCCTTCTATCAGTGTTAATTTTAACAACTATTTAATTTGAGGTGAAGGATTAAAATCATCACAAAACAAATAATTTAAGAACTACATGGGATCAAATTTATAATTAAGAACATGAGTTAATTATTCTAGTATAATTAAAGGATTAAAATGGACATTCTCCCATAAATAAATACATGTTCTACATGCTAATAATGCACTCATGTCTTAGAGTACTCAAAAATAAAAACGTGGAATTGGAATTATAAAGTCAAAATTCGCATGCAATTGTAATAAGAAGCGAACGGCAAAATTGACACAAAGCATTATAGCACAATTCTTAGATCCTCTTTTAGGTTATATTTTTTTTATTAAATATATAATAATATAATGAATTCTTAACTTACCTTCTTAAATTAGATTGCACTTTACTTAAACCTTAATCAAATTATTAAGTTATGGGAGATCCTATAGGCTATATTCCTATTGTTAATGATTTTTCTCAACTATAGTCTATAGGTGACATTTCATTGTTCACCCTACATATGATGGAAAAGATTTAGCACGTTCATAACATGTAAAACATCAATAATTGCTTCCTTAATTGCTATACCACATTTCATTCATTGAGTGAATCATTTTGAAGTTACTCATAACGTTCTATAAATACATACACTACATTCCCTGATGTGAATGCAACATCCTTTAATTAAAATCATGATTATGACTGCGAAAGAGGTTGTGGTCTTGGGCAGTGAATGGCAATGTGGATGGAAAAATGGAAAAGATTATAATGACCATTTTAACTGCCAAAATAAAACAAATACTGAAGAAAAACAAGGAAAGAAAAAAGGTGGTACCAATAAGGGGCTAAAAGAATGTATTTGTTACCGATGTGGTATGAAAGGTCAATATAATGGTCGTGTATTTGTTGTATACCGAAGTTTGTTAACATTTATTAAAAAAAATAAATTATTGAAAGGTAAAAGGAAGAATGTTGAGACAAATTTATCACAAATGAAGGAAAAAGTATTGAACCAAATTTAATTTTGTGACAAATGATTTTGGTGATTTTCTCAATGGCTTCAATGATGCAACACATTTAGATGTGGTTGATTTCCTTATATATTCATCATGAAGATGACAACGAGATAGAACGAATAGAAAAGATTAAGCAATCAAAACAATTCCGAAAATGCTCTCTAGAATCTCCTCTCTAACGGCTCTAGGGTTGCGCTAAATTTGGTAAGTTTCCCGTTGTTCCAAGGCGGGGGTGTATGGAGACTGAGGTGGCGCCACCGCCCAGCGGCGGTGGTGACTCGATAATGGAGGACGGAGGGCCTAGAACCATCAAACGGTTCAGGCAGACCAAACGCTCCTTTGCGGAAGCAACTGCTGAATAGGCTAGACTCGGGGAGGATGTCCCGTATCGCGACTCGGAGTCGAACTGATTTGAGGACGAGATCTTTGTGGAACCAGACAAGGAGGATTATCCTCCACCATTAATGGAGGGTGTGCCGGTCGTCCGTCTCCCTCACGACTTAAGGGCTGAGATTATCAAGCAATGGAAGAACGCACTGTTGGTTAAGTATCTTGGTAAACCTGTGGGCCTCTCTCTCTTTAAGCAACGCATGCCCAAAATCTGGAATCTGCAAGGTAGGTCTGAGTTTGTGGATCTGGGATGGGGATGGTTTGTGGTGAGATTCCAACTGCAATCTGATTGTTTGCACGTCTTAATCGATGGCCCCTGGAAGCTTTTCGATCAATATGTGGTGGCACAAAGGTGGAAACCACGGTTTATTCCAAGCACGGCCAAGCTTGAAAGAATGGCTGTTTGGGTTAGATTACCGGACCTTCCGGTGGAATGTTTTAGGGAAGATATCATCAAAATGGTGCTGAAACAGGTGGGAACTCCGCTGAAATTGGATAAAACCACGGCAGGAGTCGAGCGGGGCAACTTCGCGAGGGCGGCGGTGGAAGTTGATATCTCCAAACCGCTAGTTGCCCTGGTGCAGGTGTAGGATTGGCTTCAGAAAGTGGAGTTTGAAGGGCTTTATGTGATTTGCTTCGACTGCGGTGAAGTTGGACAGTGGTATGGAAGGTGTGGGGAATGAAGGTAACGAGAGTGGTAATCTGGCTGATTCGCATGCGAACGTGAGCGTCACTCAACCTAATCCTCCAACCAAGTCTCCAACTTCATTGCATGGCTCCTGGATGATAAGCGTAGGACAAGGGAACAAAATGGCTCTAAACATAACACCAAAGTGAACAAAAAACAAAGCCCCAGAAAACCGGACAAGAGGAAACAAGTGGTGGAAACAAATCGACCTCAGAGCTCTGTGCAGTCACCGTCTACCACTGCCAAAACCGGTTCTCCTTCGGTAGGCACGTCCAACGCAGTCCAGACGTCAGGAGCTACTGGAGGTAGAGTTTTTTCTAACGTTTCTATTCCTACTTCTAATATCTTTGGCAGCTTGCAAGACCTCGAGGGCTTGGTGGAAACACCAATCACGGTTGAGGGTATTTCCAATACCAGAGGCGAGTCAAAGGACAAAAGAACAAGGATAAATAACAAGGGAAAGAAAAGTCAGACCGTTACCAAAGATAGCCCCACGCCCAAGGCTACTCCAACGGCGTCGATGAATAACAGTCTCTCGGATAGACGCTTTGTGTTTGGTAATGTCGCTACTCCGAGATCTTCGGGGAGTGGGATGGAGGTGATGATGTCCATGCTTGAGGAAGGCGGTGCTAATACTTCCTCGGCTCCCAATCCGTCCCAATGAATATGATCTCTTGGAATTGCAGGGGGTGGGGAATCGGTTCACAGTTAACCACGCGAAAGGTTTGATGTCTGATTCTCAGCTTGGCGCCATTTGTTTCCTTGAGACTAAAACTAACAACGTCTCTAGGCTAAACAGAATGGCCAAGTCTTTGGGTTTTGATAAAATGTTTATTGTTAAACCACTCGGTTTTGCGAGTGGTCTAACTCTCCTTTGGAGATCAAATATTTTTAATTTTTCTGTGATCAGGAATACTACGCAGGTTATTCATGGTATCGTTCGTGGTCCCGGCTCTAACGTGCGGGTCTCTTTCGCTTACGTAAGGCCCACCCGAGTTGCCAAGGAGAGTTTTTGGAGTGACTGCAAGACCTACAACATCAACCTTAATGACCCCTGGATCATGATGGGGGATTTTAATGATATTGCCGATAATACAGAACAATGGGGGAGTTGTTCGATTAATTCTGGGCGCTGTCTAAAGTTCGTGGAGGAGTTTAGCGGTTGTGGCCTCTTGGATATGGGGTCCATTGGCGTCCAATACTCGTGGTTCAGGCATGAGGGTGGTAGGACGGTCCAGCGTAGGAAACTAGACAGAACTCTTTGGAATCTGGAGGCCCAAAACCTTTTCCCCGAAGCTAAATCGATCATCATGACCAGAACACACTCTGATCATCACCCTCTCAAGTTTCTCTGCAAAACCGGTAATCCTCCAAGGAGGGAAGCGAGACCCTTCAAGTTTGAGGGTGCCTGGCTAACGAGAGACGACTATAGGGATATCTGGAGCAGAGTTTGGAGTAATAAATCTTTGGATGTAGTGGGAGCTATCGAAGAGGTAGCAAAGCAAAGCAAAGTGTGGAATAAGGATACTTTTGGTAATATTCTTGGCCGCAAATCAAAGCTCCAGGCTTGTTTGAAGGGGGTCCAAGAATCGGCCTTTTATAACTCCTCAAGGGGGCTTCAAGTGTTGGAAAAAAAAACTTGTGGCAGAGCTTAACGAGGTTTTTATTCAAAAAGAATGGCTTTGGTTCTAGAAATCTAGGCGTTCGTGGATTCAAGATGTTGACAGAAACACATCCTTCTACCATAAGTCCATGCTTATTAGACGCAACAGGGCCAGGGTTAGGATGTTAAAGTTGGATGGTGAGTGGACTTCTGATGTCAAAAAAATTACTGACCACGTATCTAATTCCTTTATTGATTTGTTTGGCAGGAGAGATGTCTTAGACAGCTTAACTGGGGAGGACTACGGTGGACCTAAACTAAACGCTACCCAAATCCATGATCTTAGGCTGGAAGTGGATGTCCACGAGGTCAAAAAAGCGGTCTTTGGCATGAAAAAATTCGGGAGCCCGGGGCCGGATGGTATTCAAGCGGCCTTCTACCAAACTTTTTGGGAGGAAGTTAAGATCCCGATTTACCTTTTCGTCAAAAATGCTCTCAGTAATGGTATGGTTCCTATTAAAACCCTTGAAGCCTTTATCACTCTCATCCCCAAAAAAGATAGCCCGGAAATGGCGAGTGACTTTAGGCCGATCACCCTCTTGAATGTTTGCCTCAAAATTATTTCTAAAGTGGTTGTTAACCGCATGAGGCCTATCATGAAAAGCCTTATCGATCCCTTTCAAAATAGTTTCCTTCCAAGGAGGTCCACGGCGGACAACATCATCTTGACTCAAGAGATAGTCCACTTTATGAGGCAGAAAAAAGGTAGCAAAGGGCTCATGGTGGTCAAACTTGATCTCCATAAAGCCTATGATAGCATTGCCTGGGAGTTCCTGGAATCCACAGTGGTGGTATCCGGGTTCCCCCAGAATTTGATCAGTTTGATTATGTTCTCTGTCAGGGAAAACTCAATTTCTATTCTTTGGAATGGGGAGAAGTTAGCCCCCTTTCAACCCGACATGGGGCTCAGACAAGGTAACCCCCTGGCCCCGTATTTATTTAATCTGGTGATGGAGAGGCTTTCTTGGGATATTCAGGAGGAAGTGCGGTTAAAAAATTGAAAACCTATCACTATTTTTCTAGAGGCGGAACGGGGGTTTCCCACTTGTTTTTTGCAGATGACCTCATGCTATTTGCTGAAGCGTCGGAAAGTCAGGGGCGGATTATCATGGATTTCCTGGGTAAGTTCTCCAGAAAGTCTGGGCTTAACATCAACACTTCCAAATCCAATATCTTCTGCAGTCCTAACACGAGCCTGGGAACCAAAAGAGACATTAAAAGAATGACTGGCATCTGGGTTTCTCACAACTTGGGAAACTATTTGGGGATACCAATCCTCCATAAACGTGTCTCCAAGCAAACTTTCGGGTACATCTTGGAAAATATGAAAAGAAAACTAGCAAACTGGAAGACCAATACACTTTGTCTCGTAGGGAGACGAACGTTAGTACAATCAGTTCTGTCCTTGATCCCGGTTTACACCATGTAGGTTTTCAAGCTCCCGGCAGGCACATGCAATATATTGACAAAGTCTGTAGGGATTTCCTTTGGGGCGACTCAGAGCATAAAAAGAAGGTCCATTTAGTGGGGTGGAAGGATGTTTGCAAGCCTAAGGACACAGGAGGCCTGGGACTTAGGAAATGCTTAGACTTCAACGACGCTCTCTTAGCCAAGCTTGCCTGGCATTTGAACACGTGCAAAGACAAGTTGTGGGTCAATATTATAAAGGAAAAGTATGTTAAAAACAACAACTTCTTTACAACTTCCACGACCACTAATGCATCCTGGGGCTGGAAGAGTATTATACGAGGTCGTTCCATCGTTGAGATGGGGGCGGCCTGGAGAGTTGGTAACGGGAACGCACTTAACTTCTGGTCGGATTGGTGGACGGGGGAAAAACCCCTCGCTCTCATGGACAACGTGGATATTCCGGCTCACCTAGCGGAAGCAAAGGTCAATGACTTTATCATTCCCAACCGTTCGTGGGATCTCAGTAGGCTTCTCTCCTTCTTGCCACATGAGGCGGTAGACAAGATCCGGGCAACTCCAATAGCTATCTGCGATCAGGTAAGTGACGCTCTCTACTGGCCTAACACACCCACTGGTGCATTCTTGGTTCAAAGCGCCTTTTCTTACATTGCAGGTTTTGAAGAAGACACTATGGACACCAACAGGGTATGGAAGCTTCGTGTGATCGAGATGTGCTAGATTTTCCTATTGTTCATGATGAAAGAAAGACTTCTTACTAACATGGAGCGATGGAGAGAGGTCCTAACTGACGACACCCAGTGCAAGACCTGTGGAGATGGGGAAGAATCAATGGCTCACATCCTAAGAGATTGCGAATTTGCCAAAGATGGCTGGAAGAGAACCTTTCATCCTACCTTCTTCCGGTACGACGCAGTAACACCGTTCTTTGTTTGGATTAAAAATAACAGCTGCAGCAGAGTGGATCGACAGGCGTCCATGGTGCATCACCTTCATCTACACCTTTTGGGAACTATGGAAAGGCCGCAACCAGAGAGTCTTCGAAAACAAGGGCATGGAGGCGACGGACGTGGAGCGATGTGCGTGCATGTTGGCCGATGATTCCGTGGGTGCTTTCTTCAAAAACAAATGTACTCGGATAGGTAATATGCGTTGGGTTTGTTGGTATCCTCCCGAACCAGGTTGGGCCAAGATTAATACTGATGGTGCTTTTAAAAGAACAACGGGCCTAGCAAGTGCCGGAGGTCTCGCTCGAGATCATAAAGGAAATTGGCTCTATGGGTTCTATACCAATATTGGGGGTTCTAACAACTTTTCCGCGGAGCTGTGGGGCCTAAGGGAAGGTCTACGTCTGGCAAAGCACAGGGGTCTTAGAAGAGCCATCTTCAAGTTGGACTCAGAAGCTGTGGTGGCGGCTATGGGCGGAGGCAAACACATAGACGACTACGCCTCATCCATCTATAAAGATTGTAAGTTGTTGGCAAATGACATGGATTGCGTGATATTCCGGCACACCTTGCGCGAGGGAAATAAATGTGCCGATCACCTGGCTAATTTGGGACAGACGACAAGTTGGGAGACTACATGGCTCGACGCCCTGCCCTTAAGCTTAAATCCTCTCCTTGCAGCTGATGCTTATGGAGCAACATCTGCGAGAGTTTGGTAGTTTATCCTTTTCCCCGTAGTTTTCGGGTCTTAACCTACCAAAAGAAAATGAAGATGACAACGATGTTGGCTCCCTTGGTCACATGAGTGAAAACGGAAATGGTCTCCATGAAAAAACATCTTCATTATCTCCAAGAATAAATACTACTTTTGTTATTTCTCACAATTGGTCCTCAATTTTTAATTTGGACGATTTAGACACTTGAGTATCAAAATGTTTCCAATTTTGGTCCTTCCATTAACACCCGGTTAAGTGGACGTCAAATTAAAGGCTAAAATTGTCTTTTAACATACTCAAGTGCTTCCTTTGCCCTCCCAGCTTGTGCCAGCCCAGAAATCATGGCATTCCAATTCAGAACCGATCGCATGATATTCCAATAAAATGGTGCGGGATAGAAATCTAGGAAACGAGTTCAGATTATCTTGGAGTGAATTTGGGTGAGGTGTTGAATGGTGGTGCAAGTGGAGACCTGGGTTGCCACGGTGGCTCCGAAGTCATGGTGGCATAACGTTGCGGCGGTGAGGTTTGGGTGGTTTTAATGGCGGAGAGTGAGTTAGTGAGACGAGAAGAGGGTGTCAAGTACTTGAATTGGGCGGTGAACTGAACGAAGTTCATGTCTTTGGAGAATAGCTTTCCGGTGGTTTTTAGTTCAGTCTAACGTCAACATGTGACCGCTCTTTACACTTGACACGTTAGAGACTACAACGATGAAGTATTATATACATAGAGCTTGTTAAAAGACAATTTTAGCCCTCAATTTGACGTCCACCTAACCATGTGTTGACGGAAGGACCAACATTGAAAACATTTTGATAGTCAAGTGTCTAAATTGTCCAAATTAAAAGTCGAGGACCAATTGTGAAAAATCACGATAGTCGGAGGACCAATTGTGGAAGATCATGATAGTCGGAGGACCAATGCTGAAATTAACTCTTACTTTTAGCTTTGAAGAATAAAAGCTATGTTATTTCATTATAAATTAGAACAAGTGTTTTTTTTTTATTGCCAATGACCTTGTGGTCTAGTGGCATGAAGTTGCTCTATCAAATAGGAGGTCATTGGTTTGATCAATTTCATATTACTTGGTGAGACTAAAATTATAATAGGTAATGCATTATTTCGTGCAAGTCTCAAAGATATATCTGTTAAGTTTCAAAGACATATATATAGAATTAGGTTCTGGTGCGGTTGGCAGCCCCGGGTGCGGTTGTGGGGGTTAAATATGAGCCATTGATCTTGCTTAAATCAAGGTCCAGAATTACCAAAATAAAAAAAAATGTGGTGGCAATTTGGTAATTTTTGCATTCAAGTCAAATTTAACGTGCGTGAGTTTTGTGCTTAAGGTGCGTGAGATTTGTGCTTAAGGTGCGTGGGTTTTGTGCTTAATGTGCGTGAGTTTGGGCTTAAGGTGCGTGAGTTTGTGCTTAATGTGAGTAGTTGTCAAAACTTAAAGTGCGCGGGTTTTGTGTTTAAGGTGTGTGAGATTTGTGCTTAAGGTGCATGAGTTTTGTGCTTATTGTACGTGAGTTTGTGCTTAAGGTGCGTGGTTTTGTACTTAATGTGAGTAGTTGGTAAAACTTAAAGTGTGTGAGTTTTGTGCTTAAGGTGCGTGAGTTTTGTGCTTAAGGTGCGTGGGTTTTGTGCTTAATGTGCATGAGTTTGTGCTTAATGTGAGCCATTTTAAAATCTTAGGTGCGTGAGTTTTGTGCTTAATGTGCTTTGTTCTGTGCTTAAGATGCGTGGTTTATGTAATTAAGGTGAGTGAGTTGTGGTCTTAAGGTGCTTTGTTTGTGTGCTTAAGGTGCGTGGTGATTTGTGTACTTAAGGTGCGCCATTTTAATGCTTAAGGTGCGTCCAACCGCACAACCGCATGGGAAATCATTCCCGCACCTGAACCCTTCCATATATATATATATATATATATATATATATATATATATATATATATATATAGAGAGAGAGAGAGAGAGAGAGAGAGAGAGAGAGTAAATACCAGCCATGGTCCCTCGAATTTGGTGGTTTCACCACCTATAGTCCCTAACTTCCGTAATTACCATCCGTGGTCCTCCGAATTGCGAAAACTAACCTACTGCCATCCTCCCGTTAGTTTTGGCCGTCTAAACCGTCAAAAATAGGGGTAAAAATGTCATTTTGTATATATAATTATTTTTTCCTGCCGTTTAAGGATTTCATTAACGGGCAAATGCGAAGCTTTGATCGAAACTTGCGATTCTGCTTTAATGGAGACCTTACACAAGGTAACCGGCAACGACTTCATCCTCAAGTCGTCATCAACTTCCGAGGAGGCTGCAGATCCCTAGCCGGAGAAAGAAATCATAAAGCTTATCCAAATCATAAACAACATGGAACCCAGGTTTCAAAACCCCCAAATTGGAAGCTCCCATGATGTTCTGTGGGAGGAAATAGCAACAAAAATGTCTTATCTTGGCTACGACAGGACCGCAACAATGTGTAGACACAAAGGGATGATATGCATGCAAAATCAGGCTGGGAGAAGGTAATTTGGAAGTTCAAGGTCCCACATAAAATGTGTTTCCTTATGTGGTTGATCAAGCATGGCCGTGTGATGTGCAATAAGGAAATGGCAAGGAGGGGTTTTACGAGTAATGTATACTGTGATAATTGTGGCAATATGGAGGAGGACGTCGATCATGTCTTCCGCAAGTGTGCGAGAGCCAACAAAGTTTGGGAAAGGCTTATTCCTATAGCGGAGGTTCGACAGCTTGGCAAGCTTCAGTTCAAGGACTGGGTTGACACAAATTTAAGGGGAAAGGTCCATAGCAGGTTCGGTAGTGATTGGAGTTCTCTGTTTGCCATAATGATTATGGTGGATTTGGAAGTGGCATAACAGTGTTGTGTTTAATGGTAAAGAGTGGGAGTTGGATC